CTTCTCAGTTTCTTTTAATTGGTACCCCCAGCTGTCTTCCCACTGTACAAAAGGGTAGCTGTTCTGTGGGCTTTCGTGTTTGAGAGGTTTCCAAGGAGGGCGAGAGATGATCCTACAGAAAAAACTTAAGATAGGGATTTTGGACGGAAGTTGTGAAAGGAGGGAAATCTGAATTACAGCCGGACTGATGATGCTGTCACAATGCACATTTGCCAAAATCTGGAGATGTTGCTGTGCTGGTGTACTTTCTGAAGAAATATTGTAGGACAATACCATCTGTCCAGGATCTGTAAAGTTCTTTATTGATTTACTGGAGTCAGTATTGTTAAGGTTTTATTTTCAAGTATTTATTTAAAGTTGTATCTACATGTGAGTGTTCACAATACTGTATATTTTTTATTTATTTCTGTTTACTGTGTCTAGTAAAAGCACAGACCAACACTTACCAGAGGTGATATACAATCTGTTATTTTAGCATAAATGCTTACTGTTCAGCACCTGCATAAGATTAGCCATGACAGCTGATGATTTAAAATGTATGATGCATCATGTTGTCAATATAATTTCAGCTCCAAAAACATACAAATTCTATTTTAATCTTCCTGTCTTTGCACATATAATTTTAAACAAAGAGCAACTCTGGACTCTTCTGACAATTTTATATCTTATTGCATTGTATAATGTGGATTATATACAACAGAGAAAAGTACAGTTTCCCCACAGACTCTGCCCTGACAGATTTGCAGCCTGCTGAATCCTGCAAAGAATTGAGGATGCGCACTACAATATCTCGTCTCCTGCAGGATGCTGTGAACTTTCAAGTTGTTTTCCCTGTGTAATTGCTACAGGTTTTAAAGTCAGGTAATAGTGGTAGAAGACTAAGTGATATAAAAAAAATACAATTCATGAGCAGTGTTTTTACATTTAGAGTAATACACATTGTAAATCAGATCATTGTCTAGTTTGCTAATATGTGGCATATTGTGCTGCGACGTAAAACTAGAGCAGACCACTTACCAAATCTGGAGTGCTATTACTTAATTGAATGCATGTCACGTGCCAGAAAAAAGCAGACATAATATATACGAAGATGAAAGTGGAATAGGATGATGTGAAGGAGAAAAGCTTTTTGATTTGACACTAGATGATGAAGTGGCCACAATTTATATATTTTGACCCTTGTCATTCACCTATTTCATGCCAGCAATGGTATTTATTAATTTATCGTCAGCATTTAAAGTATTAATATTGTAACTTGTAAATATTACAGTCAGATGCAGACTTGTATATTTTAAATCAGTGGTGAATTTATCACAACACTGCACTAAAGAAACCATGGCCTCAGGATTTAAAACCAAAATTAGTAATGAAGTAAAGAAGTTGTTAGTTAGTGTGTTGGTGTCAGATTTGACAGGGCAAAGCCAAGTAATTTTGTAAATTTATTCTCTACCCCACAAAGATTGCCTAAGCTAACTATTAATAATTTGATATTTACTATTTAATGAGCTCAGATTTAAGCAAATACATTTTCATCTTTATGTTTATCCTTATGAAAGTATAAACTGATGTATTATGCAAATGGTCTCATCTCCAGTAAAAGCACTAGCTTCCTTCATTCATGCTGACTTGTCTATGTGCTCCCATGTTGACACCTTCATTTTGAATATCCCTCTAATCCCTTATTTATTGATTTATAGTAATCTCATCAAGAAAACACTTCCTTGCAGCTTATTTCACTTCTGTTGACTAAAAGATGTTGATAAAAAGCAGCCTCTTCCCAAGGCAGCTTTGGACTTGCTATGCTTGGGTTCATGGACAGCTCAAGAATTTGCTCTTGCGTGCACTTGGTACTGTGAGAGAAAATCAGGTTTTAAATAACCTCAGCCAAATCATCCCTGTCACGGGGAGTGTCCAAGCCAAGAAAATTTACGTATGATGTAAAGAAACAAGTACAGTAAAGGGGCAAAATTCATACTGATGACTAGAGCACACTCACAGAAAACAAGCGTGTCTAAACTGAACGTGTAGAAGTAGGAGCATTACAGACCCCTTTGAAGGATGTGACTGCCGTAAGCCATTAGTTCGTGTCATGATTTAACCCCAGGCCCATACAGCCACTCACTCACTCCCCCGATGGGATGGGGAAAAGAATCAGAAGGGTAAAAGTGAGAAAATTCGTGGGTTGAGCTAATGACAATTCAATAGGTAAAGCAAACGCCAGACTCACAAGCAAAGCAAAACAAGAAATTTATTCACCACTTCCCATGGGCAAGTGTTCACCTATCCCTAGGAAAGCAGCGACCCATCGTGCGTAATGGTGACGTGGGAAGTCAAATACCGTCACTCCAAATATCTCCCACCTTTCTCCTACTTTCCTCTAGCTTTAAATGCCATATTGTGTGGAATATCCCTTTGGTTAATTAGGGTCAGCTGTCCTGGCTGTGTCGCCTCCCAATTCCTTGTGCACCCCCAGCCTCCTCACTGGGGCAGCATGGCATGAGGAGCAGAAAAGGCCTTGACCCTGTGCAAGCACTGCTCAACAGTATCTAAAAAAATCTCTTTTATCAACAGTGTTTTGGTCACAAATACAAAACACAGCCCCATACTAGCTACTATGAAAAAAACTAACTCTCTCAACCAAAACCATCTTGACTTCCCACCTCCCATTCATGGCTGTCTTTTCATACTACTCCCTGAAATCCAGGCAAGAGCTTTTCATTTAGGTAACTCTTTGTAAACTCCCTAATGCAATCTTAGGAAGTGGGGAAAATAGTGCAGCAGTATTAGGACAGTATAAATAGTAGTGCTTGCATCATTATTTCTTTAGAAGCATGCACTGATTCATCCTTATGATTATTTTCCTATTTGAAGAAGATGATATAATATAAAAATATTAATAAAATAGGCTTTTGACTTAAGTACTCCTCACTCCAGAAGCTTCTGGAAAGCAGATGTAAATGTCCACTAACCCCATATACAACAAAAAAGGCTGGGTCTAAATTATTTATGTGGTGTGCTCAGTGGGAGGGGGATAAACAAGGCACAGACAACAGTTGCTGCTGTGGGATGGTGCTGAGCTTGTCACTGACCCTGGTGTGAAGAAATGCTGCATGGAGGGATTGCAGATGAGCCTGTGCATGAGGGTCGAGGACCATGTATTTGTTGTGAATGTTTATAATTTCTCTGATAATAGATTATCATGTACAATGCAGGGAACAAAGAGCAACTCTCACCTCTCCTTCCCTTGAATAGCAAGTCACCTTATCCTGTGATGTACAAGGCAAAATAATTGCATCTCAAATGTGTGGTGCGTTTTTGTTTAGAAGGTTAGCACGAAATTGATTTATGAAACAATTTTCCCTGTTTATGTCAGAGAGGCCGTTTTCTGGTGAATAATTAGATGTGGGTTTCTCCTGTATGGTGACATACACTTTTGTGAAGATAGGTATAGTTGTTGCTTTTCATTACATAAATCTCAGAGGAAATTCTGTCTAGTTGCTCGTGAGAAATTTTTTTCCTGTGACGTGATTTCAAAGATTGATTCTAGGTGATTTTGGAAGAGTAATTTTTTGAATTGTGTTTACCTGTGCTCACAGTGACATGCAGTAAACAATGATCTTGTGCTACTCTAGAGGTAACTCTCCCCTTTTTATCTCGAAGTCAATTACTTGTTAATCCGAGATTAACATATATGAGAATACCTGTACAATATAATTGCATAACATGGAAAAAAATTGTCCTCCTGGTCCTCAAGCTACCCCCTGGGCTTTCAGTTTGGTAGTGGGCAGCTCAGGGCAAAAATACTCTCCTGACTTTGTGCCTTTATTTTATTGCAGGCATCTATCAGAGGCAGCCACGGTTTATGCATACTGACTGGAGTTTTTTTCATCCTTTTACATAGATTTTTAGGTAATTTTTCAAACTTTGCTACCTAAAGTTATGTACCTAAATTATTGCTTGTTTTTTCTGGGCATCCCTTTTAATCATGTAAATACCGGATTAGATTCAGATGTCCAGTAGATTTAATCTCCTAAACTTGAAATAGTGCTCTGCCTTTTATTAGACATTGAATTGTACTTTTTTTTTTTTTAAATAGTTGTAGGGTTTCCAATGAGTTTCCTTAAAATATAATTCAAATCTCATCAAGTTTAAACAAGAAAAGCTGAACATTAAATGAGCTATTTACTCTTTATGGCCTTATAGTCAATCTTGGAATACAGCAAGCAAAAACATACAGAACATGTTTGATATGTTATTGGCATATTAACACCAACATTTTTAAAAATATTATTTTTATGAATTTTTTAGATCAAGTGATTTTAAATGTACTATACAAGAAAGGAATTATAATCCATTGAATAAGCTGATGTTGGGAAAAATCAGACTCAAATTTTAAGAAACTGTGGTGATTCTACAAATCCAGGATCCTTGTTTGAAACGGGATTCCTTTTAATTTGTAGATATCTTAACTTTACTTCCTCCTTTCCTTAGTGTGGACTGAAAATGCCCATTTTTTCCCAGGGAAAATGATACTCTCTGTTCCTGATTAAATTTCAACTCTAATTTCAGAATTTGGTTTTCATATTAGTGGAAGTAATCTTGACAGTGGTTTAACAAAAATGAAACTTATTTTATTTGATTATTTTACTGTTTGTTGGGATATGCCTTTAACACTTAAATAAATTTTCCCAATCTTAATATTAGGATTCTTTGAATATTAGGATTCTTTGGAAGAGAGGAAGAGGAGATTTTGTTCCGGAATATTTTGAGTAGAAGCACCATGGATTCTTTTCAGCTGGTTTTATAGTTATACAGTTTCCCTAAAAAGCAGTGTAAATATTGGGTTGAATGCCTAGAAGTATATTTCTCAGTTGTTGTCATGTATTAGGCAGAATCTTGTATTGGAATCATGAAAAACGTAGCTCTTCTAAACACATGGAGATGAAGGAAGTATGTCAAGTCTGATGAGTACATGAAATATTAACAGAAAATTCTCTTACTGATATGAGGACTTCTGTAAACCCAGAAAACACCCAGAGTAATGCAGGGTCAGCTCTCTAACAGGATGGGCAGTTGAAAACTCTTCAGGCAGATGATTTCTGGCAAGGTGGTCCAGAATTCAAACCTCCATGACCTTCTACCAAACCTTAGATAACAAAGGCATATTAGAAATAGTACTAACTGCGGTCATAAAACTCATTCACCCAGACTGAAATCTTCCTTAAAATAGAAGTTACAGCCTTCTTGGGAGGCTCATTCCTTAGGATTAACAGAGCATTCACTACTTGTGGGAAAAATATGGGCCTAAAATTGGAAGGCATCATTTTATAAAGCAGGACAGAGACAGAGAGTTGTGGCAAAGGGAAGCAAGGCTACCCCTGGCATCTCAGAGGGAGTCATTAAGATGAACTTAGTGGGGGGGGGGGGGGAAATCACTCTCTTGGCATGAACATTACTGAGGAACATTACTGAGAAACTAGCTGGTCCCCACACTGGCCGGCTCTGGTGAGTGGAGGCGAGACAGATGCAGAACTCTGATTGTATTGATCTGGGTAATAAAAAATTTAAAAAGAATTTTTTTTTTTTTTGTAGGAGTAGAAATGAGCTAGGAAACCGATTGCAGCATAGACTGGTAACTTACTAATCAGAGTTCAGGGCAGCTGGAAGTAGAATAAAGTACATGGGGAGGGAAAGGCCAGCAGCCACCCCAGAAAAAAAAATGGATAAACTCTGGCTAGCATATGGGAAAAGTGGAAACCAGATGCATAACCTCTTGATCATGCTACATGGCAGAAATTTAAAAGAGAAGCGGAGACAGGAGACTTACCTCTTTGTGAAGCTTGTAGTTATACAAATTCTGGTACAATCTTGAATTACAAGTTTCTCCTTGCTCTGTCCTAAATGGTTGGCCAGCTACTGTCCATTGCAATTTTTTACAGACATGTTGATATAGACAACCACGTTGATAAGTAGATGGTTGAGATTAATATATCTGTGGTGTCATTAACAGACATACATTGTAGCATGCCACGGTCCGAGGGGGGAATGCGGCTATGACACAACACAAACGGGTCCAGAGACAAGGCAGAGGTGCAACTGGGATGCTTTATTGAGGTGTCCAGAGGTTTTATGGGTTTAGGCGGGGAAAGGGCTAGAACATGGGGTGGAGCATGAGACAGACAAACAGGGGAACAAATCGGGGTAGGGACACAGGCAAAAGGGGGAGGAACGTGGGAGGAACCGGGGAAGGAAAGGGCGAATGGTAACTGTCTCCTCTCTGCAGCTTCTGCAGCTTATCAGAGAGGGGAGCGGGGAAGCAGAGAGCAGGCAAACTCGTGGCAAGCCCAGGCATGCCCAGGCTGTGCACTGTGTCGTGTGGATACAATGAAACCACATAATAACAGTAAAGTCCATATAATAAAGTCCTGTCAATTGCTGTATGTTTTTCTCCACGCCTGGAACCTCTCCCATCCTGAATCTTGTTCCTTCACAGCAGCATACAGAAAATTGATTATTTATTCATACATTGAATGGTTCCCAATGGACTAGACATTTTACAACCTACGTGGAAAATAGCCTATGTGAGATCAAAATATAAATGTTATAATTGAAGTGAGAAGGTTTGGAGAGGGAAGAATTTACTCATTAAAAAGTGCATTTCCCTAAGAAATGAAATAACTGGCTGCCATGCTGTCCTCAGTTTCAATGCTATTAATAAACTGATGGGCATGGCAGCAGACAGACTTCAGTAGAGTATTGAGGAAGCCTTGTGGATTGCTCCAGGGGATGTTCTAGATGCTGTTGTGTCCTGGCTTACTCTGCTGGAGGATGCTGAGTAGAATGAGTACTCCACTCCATTACATTGCTTGCCACTGTGTGCTACAACCAGCATGAATTTCTGATGTTGTTTAGAAGCTTACATTGAAAATGGCCCTAATTTACTAACCTACTGACCTGCAGAATTGTTCCGAAACCCAAAACGTCTTAACGTTACTTAGTTAAATTGCTGCTTTCTGTGTTTTCGTTCCTAAATAACAGTGGTGAATGAGAACTTGTACAACCAGTCGTGACTTGATTTAATATTCTCAAAATGTAATTTGACTTCACATGTGATTTAAAATACAGTGAAAAGATTTTTATCTTTTCATATGCAAGAAAACAAATTTAGCTTTGCAAGTACTCTGGGCTGCTTTAGAAACACTATAATGAAACAGGGGACCACCTCTTAATGATTTTAGCCTGATGACGGCCTATAACACTCCAACATAGGAGTAATCTGTCTTTTAAGAATTTGAGCAAAAGGTGTTTCTAGTTGTCTGAAACTACAGAAGTATATGAGAAAAATCTTGATGTATTAAAAATTGGTGATGAATAATAATGTCTTTAATGCATGTATTTATATACTCTTTATATTTTCTATGAAGTGTTTGTTTCAATGCAGGCTCAACTTCATGTGTTTTCAATCGCTCTAGTTTCAATACATCTAGTCTAATTTTTATACAAGAGTTTGAACTGAGCTCTATTCACATTTCTGACATGTCCTACAGCATTCTATTCCCAGAGTCATCATCTGCAGAAGGGGTTGCTGCACCCTTAATGAAAGAACTTGTCCCAACTCCATTTGACACTGTGGTTTAATATGCTCCAGATTTTTTTGAGGTCTATAAAAAGATTTTGAGGAAATTTCAGAAGTCCTCCTCATCTTTCTGTGCTATGACAATGTATCTGTAGAGACAGATATGGAGCTGTGGTATTAAATTCCTTGCTCTATCCTCAGAGATGCTCAAAAGCCATCTGGACATGGTCAAGGGCAAACAGCTCTAGGTCACCCTTCGTGAATGGAAGGTTGGGCCACATGACCTCCAGAGGTCCCTTCCAACCCCACCCATTCTGTCCTCTAATTACTTTGATGACAGAAATTACAATGTGTGTGGATATACGTTTCACAGAACACTTATTTTTGTTCATCAAATACGGTTGTTTGAGATTCTCATCACTACAGAATACAGTCAGTGAGAGAAACATGGATTTTCTTCTAACATGTAACCAGACTCAGCTTTGTACTTTTTTGAGCTTTCAGCTCTAACTACATATTGAAGGTTCACATTTTATTAAAGCTGACATTCTTATGGATTTCTGTACTCACAGAATACTGGTTTTTGAACTCTTTTTCTACACTTTTTGGATTTCTCATATGTCTTTACATCCTTTAGAAAAGATTTCTATTTCTGAACCACAGTGCCGTTGTTATTGCCCTTCTTATTGCTTCCATCTTAGTTTCAGTCATCTCCAGCCTTACATATCCAAATGTTTGTGATCCTTTCCTGTCTTGCTTTGAGTAGTGTTTGAATTCCTTAAAGGAAGGCAGAGTTTTGTCATGGACTTCTCGTGAGACTGGCATTTTGCTCTCTCTCCCAAGACTACTCAGTTGCTCTAACACTGTCTGTGAGTGCAATGTACTAATGATAAAGCAAAGTTGTGCTTCATTCAGGAACACCTGAAATTGCTATATTTGGAAAATCAAACTCTATCACTTTAAGTGTAGAATATCATTCTTTGGTTAAAACCTGCTGCTTGTTTCCACATATGCATTCAGTTGGACCAGTTACTTGACTATAGTGATGAAAGTTATCCATATACCTGAGTAAGCTTATGGCTTGAGTTAAGTGTTTCTTTTTTTTCTCGCAGGGAATAGAATTCGTAACATAGGTCAGAGACTGTTTACAAAAGCTTTTGTACGAAGTTTTAAATATGAAAGGGTAAATTAAGGAAATCACTCTTCCCCCCCCTTCAATCTTTTCACTTAAATCTAGATTTTTCTGCATATAAATATATAGAACATTTTCTGTAATTGCTCTCCTAGCAGAGCAGATGACTTGTCAGTAGATAATAATATACTCAACACTTAAATAATTCCTTCATACATATTATTAGAAAGCATTTTACATGCAGTCCCAGCAATATCCATTTTACAGCTGGAGAAAGGAGAGATATATTAATTGATTTGTTAAGAGCCAAGAAATGGATAAAAACAGGCTCAAACATAGGACAGGAGGATTAAATTCTTATGCACTCTACATCAACAGGAAGTTTTGCTGTTCATTTTTATGAAGCAACAATTTTATCCCAAGCGTCCTACAATCTTATCTATTGCATAGCTTAGGGCTGATTGCCTTTACCTACACTTGAGATGATTGACCTGACTTTGTTTTAGATTTTTATCCTAGTATGGATTGCTGTGCTCATGGATGAGATCTCTCTCACTTCAACTATCCGCAATTAAAAATTTAAGTTCAAGCTATTTTTTTGAGCTTCTTTTGCTGTCAGTGAAGAAAAGAGATGCAACTCCAGAATAATCTTCTTTCCAACTATCTGAGGACAAAGATGAATTATTAGTTTAAGCTGGCCCTGCTGTCAGAAGCAGCAGTCTTGGAGTCTTTCCCCCTCTTCATGTGTTCATCATGAAGTGTGAGAATGCACTGTGTGGTGAGTGGATCTGTGTAAAAACTAAGCTCAGGGGAAAAGGGCCGATTTTCAGTCAGATCAGCTCCCTGAACAATTTACCATATAGTCATACAAATGTAGGTATTAGCACAAGAGAGAAATCTGTGGAGGACTGGGAATAGGGAGTGTGAGTAAAAGCAGGGCAGGCCTGCTTTCTTTCCATGGTAGCATCAGGTGAAAGGATCTCCTGAACACCAGTCTAAGCCACCTGTGCTGGTTTTGTCTGGAACAGAGTTAATTTTCTTCACAGTAGCTGGTATGGGGCTGTGTTTTGGATTTGTGACCAAAATAGTGTTGATAATTCAGAGATGATTTTGTTGTGATGAGCAGCACCTACACACACTCAAAAGCTTTTCTGCTGCTCACCCCAACCCACTAGTGAGGAGGCTGGGGGTGCACAAGGAGTTGGGAGGGAACACAGGTGGGACAGCTGACCCCCGCTCACCCAAGGGATATCCTAGACCATATGAAGTTGTGTTCACCATATGAACTTTGGGAGCCATATGAGCTGGGGGAAAGAGAAGGAAGAGGAGGACATTTGTAGCGATGGCATTTGTCTTCCCAAGTCACTGTTACGTGTGATGGGGCCCTGGTTTCCTGGCAGGCTGAACACCTGCCTGAGCATGGGAAGTGCTGAATGAATTCCTGCCTTTGCTTGCATACACAGCTTTTCTTTACCAACTGAACTCTCTTTATCTTAACCCATGCCTTTTCTCACTTTTGCCCTCCTGATTCTCTCTGCTATCCTCTTGGGCAGGAGAGGGAGTGGATGGCTATGTGGGGCTGAGCTGACAGCTGGGGTTAAACCATGACACCACCTACCCTATTAAGCAAGATTAATCTCACCCAGAGTTTATGTGCAATCAGTGCTACCTGGCACTAACCTTATCAGCTGAAGTTTAGTGTGATATTAGTTTATCAGTGAGGCTTTTTTAAACTCCACCTTTGTGAAGGAATCTGACATGGTTAAATAACCAATTTAATTATTGAGAAATTGCTGTTATTGGAAGTGGAAATGCTGAGTTCTGTGTTTATTTGTAATATCTTACATGAGAAGATATGGTTAATTTCCAGAATCCTAATTATTAAAATTTTAAGAATTATAAAATTGAAAAAGACTGAACAGGTTCACCCCATGCTCTGATTTTATACTTGATCTAGTTACAATTCTCTTAGATACTTGTTTATTTTAGTGAGAAGGCAAGCCCAAAAGGATTAAACCTTGCCTGCAGCTTTGTTTTTGTGCAAAAGTCAATTATGGCTGGCTAAATATCCCTGAGGTAAACATGTGTGAGGTTGATAATGTGGTTAGAATAGCAACAGCAGTTGTAAAGGAGACACTGGTGTTCATGGAGTTAACACATTCCATATTGCTATCATGCAAAAAATTACAGACACTTCCAGTCTGGGAACATCAATCAATTTTTGTTAACTTTCAGGATTTTTTCTTCCTGATAGAGCTAATATTACATCTAAATATTATGTGTGCTGCATCTGTAAATTTCATTCCATTTGCTTAAGGAAACCTTCTGTATGAAAAATGTGAGTTAAAAACTATGTTATTTACATGGTGCCACTGGATTGATT